TCCAGCCACAGCACAGACGGTCTCAGGAGCATTAACCCTATAGGGCCCAGATTTAAAATGCGGTAAATAAATTATTTTCAGTGATTGAAAGGAAGTTTTTCTTTGGATAGTTGCATTTTTAACAGTTGTCTTTTAATATCTACATGAGTTAAGAGTTCTTCTGAAGTGTTACAAAGACAATTTGTAGAAACAGGACATGATTTGAGGCTTTTTACTGATGATATTTTCTTTTAAACATGTTACAGAAGTAATAAGGAGCAGGTTTATTTTGAATAAACATAATAAATGTCTTCATTCCCACAAAACTGTCAAATATATTTACAAAATACACTAAGCTGATTCAGATTAGCATAAAATAAACAATGTTTTCTAATTAAATGTCTGTGTCACCTCCCACCACCACCACGACAGCCCACCACCACGGTTAAAAAAATTCCTAGGGGAAACCCTGCTCTTTGTTCTGCTCCTAAAAACTCAGACTGCTGGAAAACAAACTGAACACAATTCTTCAAGCTGTCATCTTTATTCTCCAGTTTTTATTTGCAACAATTGCTGCCAATAATTTTTTCTTTGTTTTTCATCCCACAGATATCACACCTGGATCAATAGCCACATTATTTGTCTGTGTCTCTCAGACACCAGTGGCCATCTGTCTCAACCAATAGTTGAGCTGAACAGTCGACTCTGAACCTGTGTTACTCCCTCTTTTGATTGGTTACCAACAAACTGATGAAATCACTCAGGAACTCCTCTCAGCTTCATAGCATTTGTGTTCTGGCACATACTTTATCTGTTTTACAGAAAAAACTCAAATATTGTTAGTGTTGGTCCAACATGCAACTCCTGCTTCCTACTCTGAGAACGTCAGGCAGCAAAAGGGCTGAACTCACAGCTGATTAGGAAAAGTGTAAAACTTTAGTCAAATTAATAATTTAGTTAAAAATAAAAAATGTGCACTATTTTTCTATTTTACAACATTCACTATATTACAAACTGCTTTGCAAACTAGTATTTGACAAACAGTAAAGATGACGAGATGCAGAGGAAAGTTTAAGAGAAGAAAAAAAAAGTTAAGTTTCCTTTCCTTGATGTCTTTACTGAGTGAGGGTCTGGTCCCATATGACTTGGTGGTTGAGTCCCCCTAGTGGTCTGGTAAACTTCTGTTTTTGGGAGTAAGTTTGCAGTTGTTTTTGGTCTTTGCAGCATTTTTCTGTTGCATTAGATTTTTTTGTTTGTGTGTTTTGTAGTTTGCATCATGCACGCGACTAACCATCTAATGCATGTTTTCACCTGTAAGCCACTGTATAAAACTAAAATATCCTCAAAAAAT